GAATGCCTGACCCTCTTTCACTACCTTATTCTGTGATGATATTTTAAAGACTAATGCTTGCTTTTTGCATATCAGATAGAATTAAAACACTTGTACTTATTTATTAGAGAGAGAGAGAGAATGTAAGCAAGTAAAACCAAAATCAGAAATGATTATGGACAAATCACAATCACAAATGTATTGTGGACATGAAAATGCACTTATTGTGGTGTCTACCTCTTCTTAGTAGCCTGAATTGTTTTTAAAAACAGTCATATTTCACAGCATCAAAAGATGCCTTAGGTTAGAAAGGATCTCAAGAGTCCTGCTCAGTGTAGCATCAGCCATGAGGCCACACCGAGTGGCTTTATCCAGTCAACCCTTGAAAGCCTCTGGTGGTGGAGGCCACATAACCACCTTGGGTCCTTGTTCCATTGCTGAATTGCCCTCATGGAGGGGAAGAAAACACTTCCTCTTCCACACCTGTCAGCATCTCCCTTATTTCAACATGTGTGTGTTATATCTCCTGTCCTCCTGCCACACACGCTACTATGAAGAGACTAATCCCACTTCACTAATCTTCTCAGAGGAGCTGCAAGGTGGTTGTTAGGCCTCCCTCAAGCCTTTTATTCTCCAGGCAGAATGAGCCTGGTTCCCTTAGCTTCCTCTCATAGGGCAAGTGCTCCAGTCCTTGACTGTCTTGGTGGCCCCCCACCAAACTTGTCTAGTCTGATGTTGTTCTTGCACTGGGAGAACTAAAACACAGTATCTAGATAGAGTTTAATGAGTTCTGTGCTGAAGGAATGAATCACTTCCCTTCAATCTTCTGGTTCTGTTGCTGTTCATATAGCCCAGGGTATTGGTTGCCTTTGCTCACAGGATACACTGCTGGCTTGTGTTCTGCTTTGTCTGTCAGACCGCAAGCCCATCTTAGCTTGGGATTCTTCCTTGAGATGCAGGACTTTACTTTTATCTCTGTTAAATTTCACAAGGTTCCTGAGAACCATGTCCTTGCTGAAGTTCAGTGACATCCACTCCTTTCCCCTCAGCCACAAATCCTCCCGTTTTTAACACAGAAGGTGGTCAGGTTATGATTTGTCCTCCATAAGTGTATGCTGACTATGCTTAGTCCCCACCTTTCCATGTGTCCAGCAGTGTCTTCTAGGAAGACTTACTCCATGACTTTCCTAGAGATTGGAGTGAGGTTAAGCAGCCTGTGGTTGCCTGGGTTGAGCTTTTGGCCTGGTCTGAAGATAAGTGTAATGCTTGCCATTTTCTAGTCATTACAGATGAGTCTTGTTCTGCACAATCTATGATAGTACAGAACAGCCCCGAGAAATATCACACGGTTATCTTGGTGCTCTTGAAAGCAGTCTGTCTGATCCCGTAGGCCTGCGTGTGTCAAGTTCACATATTTGTTTAAACATGTGCAGCAGACGGCAGTACTGGGTCACCGCAGCAGGTCACCAGCTACACTAGGAGCATGGCCTGAGCTTGGTTATGCTGTCCTGGGGAAACCAGCAAAGACTGTGGCTCTCAGGAAAAAAAAAGAACAAAAAACAAAAACAAAAAGAAAAAAACCAACCAACCAACCAACCAAAACCACAAAAAAACCCAAAAACATTTCCCTTTCCTGCTGCCTTCTGCCTGTCAGCATTTGCTGCTTACCCAGCTTGTCCAGTCGCCAGACCTTTCTGTGAGATGCTTTAACTGTTTTTAAGTAACAGAAGGTTAATCTATATGAGAAGGAAAAGTGAATAAAAGGCTTATGGAAAAGTCAGCTTTTAGTTCCAGAGCTGGTGGGAGGGGAACAAGCTGTGATGTTGGATAAGACACATGTGAAACTCCTCAGTTTTGTGTGTTCTGAGCCTGTGCTAGATCTCCCCATTCCCTGTGAGATGTTAGCTGTCCTGCTTTAAGGTGAGCAGAACAAACTGCTGGCAGTTTACAACCCTTCTTCATATTTCAGTTTTCTTTAAACTTTAATAAAAGCATAGTTTGTAACTTCAGACATGACAATTGCAATCAATCAACAGTAATGTCGCAGTTGTAGAACTTAAACTTTTATCTTTAGCGATCGTAAGTGCTTTCACCAGATCTTTCTCTCCTATGTAATGTCATATTATCCAGTTTTGAGAGGGATCTTAAACCTGTGTGAGTTGTCTTCGTAGTGTGCGGAAAATGCCATTGTCAGAGGTTCATTTTCAGAAAGGAGACAGAGGAGTCCTGTAAAAAAATACACTTTATTCGAATAGAGGGGGAGTCCACGGGCAGATCCCGGGGGGGTCTCAGTTTTGCTGGGGGACACAGCTCCCTTTTTGTCCTAACTTCCCGGCCACAAATTTCCCTTCTCCTTTCCCCATTGGCTGAGGTACTGGGAGTGTACAGACTGCCCAGTACGCCTACTGCATATCCCGCTTATGTACTTCCTTCACATCATACATCGTATGTCTCATTAACTTCATAAAACTTCATTTTATGACTCCCCTGGGAGAAGTTACTGTGTATAAATTCATTAACCATGCATACTAGTTCCTGAAGTTCAGAGGTTTAGGCTGTCCAAACTTCTTGGGGTAGGTATCTGGTTTTGTCTAATTTCATTCAAGTCCTCAGGTGGTTCTTGTTTGGTTCTTTTTTTTTTATGTAAAGTGACCAGTTTATCTCTTTGGAGCACCGGTGATTGCACCTGGTCCCACACCGCTCCCCACTGTGAAGGCACATTCCTCTCCTCTCTATTCTATCGGTGGGATGTTGTGTGTGTGTTCTGGTCTGACTTCTCTTCTGCAAAATCTGCTGGGCTCTCTAAACTCATCTTCCCTTCAGTGTGATTTGTATTTACTGGGAATAAATGAATTATCTTTAGGTCCCACTTTTATGAGTTGTCACAACAGATTATAATTTTCTCTTAATATGCTTTGGGCACTTAGTTGTTCCAATGTAGTATCTTTTAGTAGCTTCCAAAACCTATCTGTGCTCATAGGGTAGCTGTAATCTGTTACTGCGGCAGTATTTGTGAATTGGGCAGCTTTCTCGGAAGAAATTTCCTGAAATTGTGTGGATTGTTAATGAAACTGTCTGTAGTTCAGTCAGGCACTCTGGCAGTGCCAGCTGAGGGAGTCTGTATCCCAAGTTGCTTGTTTGCATTTGTTTGGTTGTGTTGGCAAACCACTCAGTGAAACAAGTCGGTGAACTGAGATGGCTGAAAAACCAGCTCTGTCAGGGAAGGTTTTTTTTTTTGTAACAGAAGTTGTTTCACAGCAGTTGTTACAGTTGAAGGAGTACAAGAGGATGAATGACCTTCACCTGGTGGTGCAGCTGAGGGAAAAGACACTTAGAAACAGGAGGGGGAAGAGTGCTCAATTTTTTTAATCCTCCAGCCTCTTCACATCTCTTTACCTAACGTCCCTTCTGCTTCCTTCTGTAGGATTGCTGTGGAGATACAGCAGCTGGAGGCACCAAATGAACAGTGAATTTTCTAACCTCTAGTAAAGAGGTTAGAAAGAGTTACAAACAAGTAAACACTAGCAGAAATCTAATTCTGATAAATGCTATGCATTATAAGTTGTTGCAGTTCACAAATGAGACTTTTAGGCACTTTCAGAGCAAATTTGTTGTTCTCTTAACAAGGAACGACAGCTGTCCATTGCTGCAGGAACGTATTATAAACAGTTTCATTAAGTAGGTGAATAGAAGGTCTTTGGCTAGGTTTGTGTGAGAATATCTATGGTTATGATCTAGACCCCAAGGTGAAAAATGAAGGAGCATTTTTCAATACTTTGAGATCAACTTCTCAAGAAATGGTGCAAGTGCACTTATATTTTGAAGTGTATTTCAACACACAAATACACTTTACTGACTTCCCCCACTAACTTCTGAAAGATTGTAGGGGCATGTAAGTACTTTGCATTTGAAATGCTTGAGTAAGAATACAGCCACAACTTATTCACTACTGAGTAGAAGATGTGAAGCCAAGGTAGTGCTTTATGACACACAGTGTAGCTTAGTTATGCAAGTTAAATGAGATAAAGTGGATTTTTATATCAGTAAGTTTTTCTGAAGAACAAAGCATCTGTTGGCTCTTTTGCAATGAGAAGTTCCTGGAGAGAAGTTTTTAAGATGGTGGGGAAATTACCAATGACATTAGTAACCTTTAAGTAACTATAAATGGCATGGTAGGAAGGTGCTATGGAGCTAACTTTGGACAAGACTTGAAATCAAGTCTCTGGAACCTTGAAACGTGTTTCAAAATGAGCAAGCGAGAAGTTAACCTCAGTTTGCATTTGCACTTCCAACAGAAATTTGATTTTGATGGTAGTTGTGACTTTTTGGTACTCCGCTACAGTGAGGAGAGCTGTGGCAAGACAGATGAGAAAGTTGTTAACATTTTAAACATGTAGTTTTTATGCTGGTCTGCACTGAATTTATTGTGATTTCTTGTCCAATGTTTCCAGAAGACCCTTTGGAGACACCTTCTTAAAGTAACTTATGGCTTGCTGATTGAAGTCAACATGTTAAAACGGTAGCTCTTCCCACTTAATCTCCATCAAAAAACACTGATGGAGTGTTTCCCTGATGAGGAACTTCTTCTACATGTGGAAAGCAACTCTGAAGCTAGTGTCAGCCTATTGTGATAAGTAACTGTATTTTCAGCCTGTGTGTTAGATGAAACATAACCTTGCCACGGCAGGAGCTACTTCATGAGCTGTTCAGTCACCGCTTCAGCAGTGCTGTCTCCCACGAAGAGAGCAGTGAGGACAATGGGGGAGTGTCTGCTTTATTGGCCCAGACTTTTACTGTGTGTCAAGATCCTTCAGTGTCTGAAGTGGCTGTTGTGTAGGTCAGTGTATAGACTCCTTTAAGTGCTTTGTGCCAGAAAATGATGCACAACACATTTTTGTTATAATTTGAATGGAGTTATGGGACAAACCTCTGTACTTTAAATCGTTTCATATGCTTTTGAAGACTACAAAGGTAATTAAAAATAGTTGTTGATTTAAAAATCCAATTCTATACTAGATTACGTATAAATAATTTGCTGTGCCTTTTTGTTTATTCTGTACAAGATTTTACACGTGTTTTTTAAGTACTGGAAAAGAAGAGACAACATTCCTGTCTTTTATCTGCTCTCTAGTCTCTGAAACCAGATAAAAAGCTGGGAAGAAAACCTTGAACCTCTAGAAGAGAGTAGCCCTGTCAAAAAACTTGTAAAACAGCTTCTAGGTGCTTTAGTGAACTTGCTCTGGTGCTTTGAACTACATATCGCAACTTATTGACCCATTTAATATGCTAGTTCATAGATGTTATTTGGAGTCTCTAAATACTTTAATACTTTGTAATGAGTCCTCCTTTACAAGAGAAGAAATATTAGCTGAGGTGCATAGTTGCACAGCTTTTTCTAGCCAGTTTTGACCATGGCTGAGGTGTGAAGGCAGAAGATGGAAAATGACAGTTTAGTTTTGAGGTGATGATGGTGTCAAATAAAGTGACAGGGTGCCAGCTGTGAAGCCAGAAGTACTACTTTACAGTTTCAACAAAACATGTAGGAAAACTTGAAGGAGGAAGTTCAATTAAGGACTAAAATAGACATTACTGCTTGAGATCTTTGGATCCACAGCCTGTAAGAGACCTAGAGACTATTTGAGAGAAGGAATTGCTGTTCTAAGGTGTTGGATTTTTTTTTTTTTTTTTTCCTGTTACTGCGGTCTTCCCTAGTTACCTATCTGTATTTGGGATCAGGCAGGACTGAAACTGGTGACCCAGAGAGAGTTATAAGCTAGGTGGAACACTTGTCTGGCCCATGGCTGCTCTCGCTGTCGTCGTGGTGTTTAGACTTACTACTGATTACAAATACAGCTGTCTGATTTTCTTGTCTGACTTTCTTGACTAAACTGTTTGGTAAAAAAATATTGTTGGCTGATATCTAGAATATAAACTTATATTTTTGCATATTTTTGATGTTTTAAGCAACTATAATCCCAATTGTATTTTCATGCTGAATGTAAATAGTAAACTTTTTAGGGAGAAGTTATGCTCTTCCCTTTGAAACTTCGGAATAACTTATCTAACATCTGAGTAGTAAGTCTCGACAAACTATATGGACTGATTCATTTACTGGTTTTGTTGGTGCTTTGTGATTCATTCAAATATTTCTGGGGATGATAATGTACCTAAGTTATCCTGAGTGAGGTGAAACTTTACTCTTTCAATTGATTCTCCTGTTTAACTCACTGATCTGTCCTTGTATTTGCATCATAATTATGCACAGATCTAGTTTCTAAAGAGAATATGCAATAGGAATGGTATCTTTGTTTTATAGTCTTATTCTGCCTGTTACTTATGAAGATTTCTTCTTGTGCATTGGCTGATCCTATTTTATGATTTTCTCCATTTTACTCCTTGACTTGTAGTGCAGTGTTAGCTAGTCTGACATAAAAGCGTATTCACAATTACACATACTTATTCTTGCTTATATATAAACAAGCTATATCTTGTGGAATTGTATGAGGAAAAAATAATTGATTCAAGTGATTTATAGTTTTGAGTTTTGTGTTCAAATAAAAGTTGTGAGATCTCTTGTTTTTTCTTCCTTATTCTCTTCGTTTGCTCCCTGTTGGAGAGGAAAAAGAAAATAATCTACATTAGAAATTTAACATGTAGAAAATTCTGTGCTGGAATCCTCTACAACTATGGTTGGTTAGTGGCAAAGCATGATGCTGTTGGAAGTAGGTGAGTTAGTGTAGATCTTGAGCATGGTATTCAGCCTGGTTCCCTTTTCTCCCCCAACCCCATCCACCTAGTTTGGTTTAGTGGGTTGTGTGTGTGGCGTTGGTTTTTTTTTTCTTCTGATCAAGTAGCTACTGAGTTCCATGTTAATGGTTGAATACTACTCTCCCTACCAAGGTAATATAGTTAGAATTGGCTTAGGACCTTTTTAGCTTCCTTGGAGTTTTAGGAACTCAGTTACTTGAATTACTGATATTTTACGTAAGAAATCATGTATTAAATATTTTTGGTGCATTCTTTGACACTTTTGGTGAATTCATGAAGAGTCTCTGAGATGGCAAGTTTGTGTCTCCCTGTCCCCATTTGCATTAGTTGATTTCACAGGAGATTTTTGTGTATATAAACATGTCTCTTTCAAATTTCGTAGACTAGTAGTAGCAGAGGCACTGCTAGTAAAGGTGCCTAAAGCCTGAAAACATCACCAGGTTTTTAGTTACCTGATGTTACAGATTTAGCTTAAGAGTTCTAGCTGCGAATCATATTAACATTTAAAATGGTTTCTTACTTTTAACCTAATTCCAAGTTCCTTTTCTCTTGCTTCCCTTTCTTTAGAGACTCTACAGTGGTGGGTAATTCACTGGTCCATAAGCGGTCTCCTTTACGTCGAAGCCATAAGACCTCAGCATCTCTGACCAAGCTGTCGTTACGTGATGGACAGAAAGCCAAAAAGCCACTGTGTAAATTTGAAGAAGGTCAGGATGTCCTAGCTAGATGGTCAGATGGCTTGTTTTATCTTGGAACTATCAAAAAGGTAAACAATTTGTTTAATTTCACTGGAATCTTCTAGTGTTAAATGTTGGTTAAATATTGCAGTATTGTCTCTCTTAGTACTAAATATTTTCTTCTGTTCAGTACTTTTTCTCATTACTTCCACTGTGTTTTTGTTTTCCAGATAAACAAACTGAAACAGAACTGCTTCATTATATTTGAAGACAGTTCCAAATCCTGGGTTCTCTGGAAGGACATACAAACAGGCAAGAAATTCAGTGAAGTAGTAATTTCTTGGTATTTTGTTTAGGTTACTGTATCTATTAAAATTATTGCATTATATTTTTGTATCCTGAAGAGCAATACAGTTTAATGCGAACCAGGATCATGAATTAAGCAAATTTTAAAAAGCTAAAAAAACCCCTTCAAACAAAACAAAAACTGTTTTCAAGAATTCTTTATCATTACAGTTACTTTGTTGTTTTCACATAGCCATGAGCAGAGGTGAAAACACCTCTAAAAATAATCGCGTCTGAGTTTATTTGGATGGGGACAGAGTATAATACTCATCTTAACAGAAAACTCCAGGCTCTAATTTACACCAAGCTTATGTCCTTCTGTTTTCAGTTGAAACAACATGATGTGGAAAGAAACCAGACTGCAAAATCCTAGGTTTGACTGGAGTTTTCACATTTAAAAGTAATGCCACAACTGTTGCACATAATCTCTTGTAGATTTTGAAGTATTCATATAAAGGAGTGTGCAGTTATGAACTGGAACATCTATTGTATAGATTTTTTTCAGATATTTGGGAAATAGATAGTACTTTGATAATGTAATGCTAATGGACCGTGGATGACAATTTCAGTGACAATTTTTTTCTGAAAATCAGTTACAATTTCCTCATCATATAAAGGCAATGGAAGTCTGATCTGGCTCTTGTTGGTTCTTGATGTATAGGCTAAACACTTATCTGCTAACAGAAGAAGGTTTGTATTCATAATAGAAAAGATCAACTGCTTAGTTTCTGAGAAGCTTTTAAAATACTGCTGTTCTGTTTCTATATAGTACTAATTTATGACCTTTGATTCATTTATTCTATCAGACTTTAGTGCGTATGATAACATGTGGAATAAGAAAGCTGTGGTTTAATCCAGATTTTTTTCAACTGAAGCAAGATGTAGTTTTGCTTCTGGTTTGAAAGCTAATTTTTTATCTTGCTGCTACTGTGTGCTTTTGTATGCTTGCAGGTATGTATAATAAGTAATAACATATTTCCTACAGTGGTGGAGTTTAATATTAAAGCACATTGGTCAGATCTGTCAAAGATATGCACCAAATTGTACACGTACTTACACAAAAAGAAACATAAACTACTGCAAATAAAAAACCTGTCTATTGGTTGTCCAGTTAAATTTTGTTTCATGCATATTTTTTCGGCTGCATTTACATTCTTTACTCAGCTATTTAATTTTTATTGTTCATATTAAGGAACTATGGACTGCATAGTAAATGGGTGATATATAGGCTGTCAATATCTAATGCCCTATCACAAGTGATGTAAAAATTTGTAACACATAGTCTGTCCAAAATGCCTGATTTTTGTTAGGATGTTAGGCTGTGTAACTTTTTACTGTTCATGGGTCTGTAAGTGAAATTACAAAAAAGCTGTGTGGTAACTGTTAAACTGCAGATGCAATCTGAAAAAAGTCATACTTGTATTTGTCTAGGAGCCACTGAAAGTGGGGAAATGGTCTGTACAATATGTCAGGAAGAGTATTCAGAAGCACCGAATGAAATGGTTATATGTGATAAATGTGGGCAAGGTAACTAGATTTTTTTTCTTTTCTATTTACTGCATTTTAAAAGATGTTTTGGTTTATGAAGGCTGATATTTGCCTGGCTATGAGTGACTGCTCAACTGATCTTAAATTTTGTGGCCCTTAGCAACTAGTAAAATCTCAGTGAATAATGGTAGTCCATATTAAAATAACTAATGCCTGTTCTGTAAGTAACTTTTTTTTTTTAACTAAGAAAATTTAAAAGGCCAATTTTGTATTTGCTACCAATCTTTTTTGATCAGATTTTTGGCACTGAATGATGGATAATGCCTTATAGTTGCCATAAATTATATATAGGTAATTCTGTTTAAGCTTTTCTGCCATTTTAGTAATGCACTGGTTGATCATATTTTATACAGGTTATCATCAGCTGTGTCACACACCAAATATTGATTCCAGCGTGATTGATTCAGATGATAAATGGCTCTGTCGACAGTGTGTTTTTGCAACAACAACAAAGGTGTGTTTTTAAAAAAAACACTTCTTGGTATGCATGCAGTGTGGGATGTATTTTGTTTCTGAAGGTGAAACAAACATTAAAGGAATAATTTTTTTTTTTTTTCCAGTGATTTTTCTTTTGTGAGCTTTGATCCAAATAGAGGTTTTGTACATTTGGAATTATTTATTTGAGAAGTAGATTACATTTGGCTTTCAATTATTTTTAAACAAATGTATTTGTATTTTAATACTAGTATAAGTGAATTTTAGTTGATTATACACAAATTTTGGTAGCTTTCAAGTGAAAGGATTTGAAAGTTTCAGACAGATAGTATTATTTTTGTAAACTAATGTATTTGTTTTGGCCCAGAGGGGTGGTGCGCTTAAGAAAGGACCAAATGCCAAAGCACTGCAAGTCATGAAACAAACGTTACCTTACAATGCAACAGACCTTGAGTGGGATGCAGGTCATAAAACCAATGTCCAGCAGTGTTACTGCTATTGTGGAGGACCTGGAGAGTAAGTAAAGAAATAATATGTAAGACCTTTTCTCTGTAATGTGGATGCAAACTTTGGGCCTGGTCCTGTAGACTGTTAGTTGTGAGCTTGTTAGTTTCTGTTTATACTGTGTGTAGGTATTAAACTTGATGCAAAGTGGAATTTTGAATTGTATATTTACTTTTTATTTTTTTAACTACTTGTGGGAAATACTATTACTGGCTTTCCTTCTCCCATCAGATTTTTTGTTTTAATGTCGTCATGTGACAATCACATAACATCACAGTCCATTCTCCAACAAGCAGGCTTTTTTTTGCATTACTGTTGTTAATGCATTGAGATTGGATGGCGTTGTTTGGTGGTCTAGCAGTTTTAGGTGGTGTTTTTTCTAATGGTAACTCGGTCTAGTCATTATTCCCTTAGAAAAATGTATCTTGAGGTTAGTTTCTTACATTTTGTTGGAACAGACAAATGTCTGATTCTAGAATAACATCATACCCTGGTTTACAATTACTGCTGAGGGAAAGACTTTTTTTCCCCTCTTATGATATTAAACAGTCCTCTGCTGGTTCTTGCTTACAAGAAAGGCAAGAAGAAGACTACTTAAGGAGGTAGAGATAAATAATCAGGTGTCTACATGGATGAGTGAAAGAGTAAAATAGCACTGAAGATTAGAAGCTAAGGCAAGAGTCCCACAAAAGCAACTTCTGAGTTTATACTCGCATAACAGAGCTCTGGTTTGATAATTTTTGAGACTTGTATGAACATCACCTCCAATTTTGCATGGTTTCTTTTCTCAAGGGAGAAACTGAAAAAGGAAGACGTGTTAACTGAGGTTCATTTTGAGGATTCAAGTAGTTGAATCCTCAGAACAAGTGTTTGACTTAATGCAGCTGTGCCTAGAAAAATAACAAGGAAGCTGACTGACTATGTGAGAAGGATCTTATGTGGAGTTACTGAACTCTTACTGAGAATTAAATGGTGGTTGTCAGAGGAAATTAAATTTTCATTTCTTTTGTTTAATAACTTAACTCAGTCTTTTACTAGGCTATCTCATATTATTCTTAGTCACTCCTTTTCTGTAATGATTCATTATGGAACTAAATGTTACTGAAATATTCCTACAGATGACTGTTTCTCTTATAAACTGTGAAAATCATCTTGGGTCAGAAGATCCCTTGCTATTTAATTGAAACATAATGAAGAACAGCTTTCAGTATTTTTTTAACACATCTTGTTTTTCTTTCTTTTGGTGAAGCTGGTATCTAAAGATGTTGCAGTGCTGCAAATGTAAGCAGTGGTTTCATGAGGCTTGTGTGCAGTGCCTCCAAAAGCCAATGCTTTTTGGTGACAGGTAAGAAACTTAAGCTGTACTTTAATTTAAAATGTGGAGGGAATCTCATGTATAAGCTTTTACTAAGGCATCTCTAATACAACACTATTTTCCAAAAATGGGGTGAGCGTATGTAAAATATTATACTCATGTTCTAGGAAAAATAAGTTCTTCATCTCAGTTTAATGAGGGAAGGTGGAGTGGTGGGTGGTGGTGGGGTATTCAATGGATTCAATGGATGATTGAATTCAAACTGTTACTGACTTCACTTTGTGTGAAATTCATTATACTTACTATAGGTGCTGGCGGTTGGGAGACGGGAAGCTTTAAAGCAGCCTACTTCAGAGCAGCTAATAAGTTAGACAAGGGTTTTAAAGTTCATATTGTGTAGGTGACTAATTTCTTGTGTGCAACAGACACTGTGCTTCAAGGCGGGTGTGTGTGTGTGCAGTAGTAGTTCCCTGTGCTAACAGTATGGGGAACTAGGGGAAGCTGGAAGGAGGAGAGTTAGACTGATGAGGTCTCTGTATGTCCTCTGTTGATGTGTGAGTCAGGATAGAAGGAAATGAAAAAGAGCAGTGGTCTGTCCTTCCATTTTAAGAGGAACTTGGAGCAATTGGAGCAAATGAGAGAGAAAACTGGAGAAGGGAACCAAGGAGTGTCTCATTTGTTATCTGTTCTACTTTTTTAGCTGTTGGTTGTGGTGCATGTTAGTATGAAGGAACTGAGTTAGCACCCAGGAAAAAAGGGTCCTTTAAATGCATGCTTACACTGGTACACAGGTTTCTGCATTTGAGAGAATGGAGTGGAGATATTACAGAGCATCTTCACCAGTTTAGTCACTATTTGGGGGACTTTCTCAGGGAGTATGAAATGGTGGTGCAAGGATAAAATTGAGGGAGTACAATGTATCTGGCCCAGTAGTACCAGAACAGATTGTGGAAATTGGTAAGAGCTTAACAGCTCCCTCACTCTCCATCTTCCTTTAACTATCATATGGCTGGGCTTCTAGTCTGCTTAACATTTTTTTTTTTTTTTCTTTTTTTTTAACGATAGCTAGGATGTTAAAACATTAAAGAGTGTGTGTGTGCGTGTGTGTGTACAGACACCCACCACTCCAACATGTGTACATAGACGTATGTGTATATTTTTAGGTTTTATACGTTCATTTGCTCAGTTTGCAGTTCTGGACCAGAATACCTCAAACGTTTACCCTTGAGATGGTAAGTGTGAATTTTAAAAAAAAGGGGGTGAGTTAAATACATGCTTTGGCTTTCTGGTATTTTGATTCTCCTTGTGAAAAAAAAATACACTTACTGTCTTGAGTTGCTTCCTGCACTGTCCTTGTTCATACAAGCAGTAGGAACAACTTCTTCAAAGTTTATCCTTATGTAGAGATATATATTGCAGTTGTGTGCTCTTGGGGTTTATTCCTGGGATTGTTTAGTGAAGTAGCAAGCCACTACTCACTGTATATGTGAAGACTGAGGTCTGAACAAAGTCTTTTTTGCAGGTTTAGGATCCTGCCGTTAGAGAAGCCAAATCAGTCTAGATGTGTACTCTTAGTACTTGCTACGTTTTACGATAGTTTCTTTGACGTGAATTAATGGTTAGCTGCAGTTTGAAATTTTTGAACTAAGCCACATTAGATATTATAGCCAATTCAGTGAATATGTGTGCTGGCAAATACATGGTGGAAATTACCTTGTTAATGTTAATTCACCGAAATAGTTGCATGAATTCAGAATTGCTAAAGTTCAAGTCTGAGACTTACTTAAATATCCCAATACTTTAGACTGATTTTGGAGTTTAAAAGAACATCATGACAGTGAGATGAGGCAAAGAGGAAAGTAAGATTAAAAATTATGCTAAATTATTTCAAAGAAAAGCTATTGGAAGAAAACAACTTAATCATCTCTTTCTGAATTCTTTTTTTTTTTTTCCCCCTCTATTTCTGAATTCTAGGGTAGATATAGCACATCTATGCCTTTACAACCTAAGTGTTATTCATAAGAAGAAATACTTTGATTCAGAACTTGAACTCATGGCCTATATTAATGAAAACTGGGATAGATTGCATCCTGGTGAGGTAAGTAATTGGAATACTCTCTGTAATTTTTCCTAACAGTGCATTACATATGTTCTGAAAGTTAGCAACCCATGAACTGTTTATTTCTGCGTGTTAAATCTTTTTTTACATCAAAATCTAGTAAAACCAAACAACAATGAGATAATATTTAATTTCCTTGCAGAAACAGAATGCTTTTAAAGAGGTGTATGTTTTTCTAAGCTGTAAAATTTCTCCAGTCATCTGTGTAACTGTTTTATTATTCTCATGACAAGTTTATACTCAATTGTTTATTCTGTTGCATATATATGCATATTTTCCTTTTCTCTTTATAATTGTCTCGTACTTCTTCGATATTTCCACATGCACAGACCAGAAAATGTAGAAGTAGAACTGAATGCAGATTGTATTGCATATGGGTATACCTTCAAAGTCTTTAATGTGTAACACAAGAAGTTACACTGTTTCCTTTTCGCTCCCTTTTCTGAACATGGGGTGATCCCTCTCTGTCTAGGTCTAAGGATTGTTTTGATCCTTTTCCAGTCTGATTCTGCTGCTTGTTAAGGCACCTTGGTTTTACTTTACTACTATACCAGTTATTTTTCTAGCTATTTGATTTACTGAGCAATTACCTTAGCATTAAAGGAGATCAATTTCGCCAAGCAGACTGACTTCATATTTAACTAAGAGGAGCAGTGTAGGTATTTGTTTCTGCATGTAAGGTTGAATGCAAAATTTACAGCTAAACTCAAATTTGCCTATGCTAATAGAACATACACTTTTTTCCATGCATGAAAATTATTTAGGGTTTGGAAGTTTTTTAATACAGGTGGCATATAACTGGTTTGAAATTTTCTTATGAGCATGTTGTACTTTTATACTTTTCAGTAAATTCATACATCTGTAATCCATTTTTTTACTAAAAGACAATTTGAGAATTCAGTGTGTGTTGGTTTAAATGAGTAATTACTTTTCATAAATAATGAGAAATAGTTTAAAATACATCTTTAGACTGAGTGTCAATGTTTGTTAGCGAGACAGGCAAACACTCAAACATTACTAAAAAATGATAGTGCCAATGTCAATAGACATGCGGTTTACTTGGAGGTGTATGAAGTCTCTTAGTGAAGTCATATCAAGTCTCAAGCTTTGATTAAAGCTGCACAAAATGTGATTCTCACATCTTTTCAATAGAGTGAAATGTTCTGGCTGTCTTACTGTGCAGTTTAACAAATATGTAAGCAGTGTTTCATTTTGACTTTTGTTTCAGTATTGAGGGAAATGTAGAAAGAATTATTGTCTGTTATAATCTTCAGTTTTAACATAATTTTGTATCAGAATGGCCAGTCAGAGCAGCTGTGGTGTGGATGAGGAAGGTGGAGCTATATAGCTGCCATTGACTTGGAGCACACATCTCATTTTGAAGAAGCTGAAAGGCTCCTGTCTCTTTGTGCTCTTCCCCATTTCTGCTTTCAATCCATTCACACTCTATCTCTGTGAAAAAAAACACAAGCAACGGTGAAGGAGAGGGGAGATCCAAAATAAGGAAACTCATCTCTATAAGTGCTATTTTCAATTCCTCAATATTTCTATATTTTTAATGAAACTACTGAAGTGTGAAGACTACTTTTTGAAGGGCTAGATTTTGAATAAATGCGCAACAGCTATGTTGATGAAATCTTCAAGACTTTATTCTGAAACGATTGTAAAATGTCTTTTGCTAAGTTGGGAAAAATTTGAGTCTTGAAAGTGTTGAAAAATTTGAGGCAAATGTATTTTACTACTTTGATTAATCTGGTTTCTTTATTAAATGGAAACTAGTCACAGAAACATGTGCAATATAGGATTTAGGAGTTTTGTACTATTCTTAACAAGTCACTGTTAGAAATGATACTTTTTCTTTCCTAAGCCGCTTATAGTTGAATAAGGAGTTTTTTAGCCATCAGTAAGATAGGAATAAATGTTGGAATTATCAGACTTCCTAACCCAGGAATTTTTAGCATCTTATTATTTAAGATGCAATAAATATATGGCAGTTTTCTATAGTTAACTGGTGTAGTGTTACAAAACCTCTGGATAGCAATGGATTGTACTGAATGCATATAGTAAAGATGTATGAAAACAGTTTTTACTTTCTTTGGCTAAAATCAGTTGAATACCTCCATTTACTTGCGTAGTCAGGTAGACTGGCTGAATCTTTCCCCAAAAGATCTTGAAAGATTGGGTTTTATGAGAATATTTACTTTTTTTTTCCCCCCCCCCCTGTTAGCACATGGAATTCTTTGAGCATTTCTGCCTGTCCCGTTTGGTCAGAATTGTTCTTTAGAAAGTATTTGAAGGTTGGGCGTTTTTAAGATGCAAATACTGTATAGTCTGCTTTGTCATATTCATACTAATAGTGAAACTTGTAAACTATTTGTCAGCTCTATAATTAAAGAAATTTACTATGGTGCCAATTGGATATAACGTCATGCCAAAATGTTCCAGACAACTGGAAATACAGTAGCTTCATTCAGGAATTTAAAAATAGATGTCTAAATGTAAAAATCTTATTTTGATTTGTATTATATAAATGTGTCCACTTTATAGTCACCACCATACTTATTCTGCTTTATGTCTCTGTGATTGAGAAGTATGCAGTTATTTGGAGGGAAGATTCCATGTTTTAGTAGCTTGATTAGGGAGTAGCTACTTCAGGATTTAGCACAAGCAGGGATCTTAGGGCTGGGTCACAGCAGAAGGGGTATGAGATGTTTTTTTTTACTCTAAGAAGTTACTCAACTTGATACAGAAAATGAAAGAGGTCCAGGTAATGTTGGCGAAAATGGGAGCTTGGTCTTGTGGCAGGATTTTGGTTAAATGATCACCAATAAAATAACTAAGTTCTTGTGTCAATATAGTTATTTTCTGCTTGCAGTCCCAATTTAGATAATGCCACAGAAGAGTTCTTGTTAGCAGTCTTGGGAGGGCAGGCTAGTATTATGTTCTTTGAGTATACTAAAATCCTTTGAGGTATTTATTCTGTGCTTCTTACAAGTGAAACTCAAATTCTATGGCCTGGGCTTGATCCTGGCCAGAGAATTCTCTGCATGTAAACCACAGAATGTGTAGGATAATGATTTAACCCCTCTGGGGTTAGGTAGCTTCCACAGCTAATACTTCATAAGTGTACTTCACATCCAAATCTGTAGTTACAGTGACTCAAAGTAACTGGAATCTTTCTATTACTAAAGAATTTGACAGGTTAAATGATTTCTTAATACTTCACAGCTGGCAGATACACCAAAATCTGAAAGATATGAGCATGTACTGGAGGCATTAAATGATTACAAGACCATGTAAGTTATTAGTACTTTTTGTTTTAAATGTTGTTTGCCTATTTAATGTAATGTAGGTTACAGTCTTTGCTCTGTCTCCTTTGCTCAGTCTATCTCATGAAGTCTTTGGCTGCAGTTAACATTTAGATTTTAAATACTGTTTCTATTTCAAACTGTAACATTGGATAACTTCAAGTGGAACACAGATCGTGAAAAAAGATGTAACTTGCACTCTTTC